ACACTGTTACAGGAGTTGCAGGAAGAACCAAGGAACACTAATATTGATGCACACATTAACACCCAGCTATGTACGGAGAAAAGTGTTGAGCGTGTACAGAAACAAGCAGCATTCGCAATAGTGCCTGTACTGGTAAGAAATGGAGAAAAGGTAGCACAGGCTTGCGCCTTCTTAGATAGTGGGTCAGATGCCTCGCTTATTACAGAAGAATTGCTAAAAGGTTGAATTTAGAAGGACAGCCTAAGACGATTTCGTTGAAAACGTTGAATAACCATTCCATAATTCAGTGTAAAGAGGTTCAACCAGAGGTTTCCTCCTTAGACTCGTCTTCGTCATTTAGAATCCAAAACGTATGGACAGTCGAGAGATTACCTATGTTGCGCAGGACGGTACCAACGACGTCTCAAATGAAATGCTGGACGCATTTAAAAGACATAAGTTTTCTTAGAGCAGAGGATGAGAACGTCAAACTATTAATCGGGTGAAACGCACCGAGTGTACACGAAATGAAAGAGATAAGAACTGGAAAGCCGAATGAACCATTCGCCGTGAAGACTCCGTTAGGTTGGACGCTGTTCGGTTCCTATAGGGAACCTTCTAAAAGCAATCGTGCACTCAAACACCTCTCAGCTAAAGAGGATTTAGAGGATAAGTTCGAACAGTTGTACTCAACTGAATTCAAAGATCCATTTGGTCGTACTATATTGATGTCTGTAGAAGATCGTATAGCACTCAGTGCTATATCAAATTCAGTACAAAGGTTAAACGGGCACTATCAAATAGCTCTACCTTGGAGGCACAACCACAAGTTACCTAATAACAGAGAATTAGCAGAACGTAGACTTAGCTGTTTGAAGGGTCGACTTATTCGGGATAAGTTGTTCCAAGACTATGTAGACTCCATGACTCGGTATGTAGAACGAGATTACGATGAAAAGGTAAACGATAACCACTCTGATGGGCGAATTTGGTATCTTCCTCATCATCCAGTCTTCTACCCCAAGAAACCTAACAAGCTAAGACTAGTGTTCGATTGTGCACCTCAGTATGCTGGAACGTCTTTAAATAAGAACCTCTATTTTGGGCCTGATTTAGTCAATAACCTAGTAGACGTTTTCATCAGGTTCCGGCAACGACCAGTAGGTATTACGGCGGATATGGAAGCCATGTTCCATCAAATAATAGTTCCGCCGCATGATCGAGATGTTCTTAGATATTTGTGGTGGCCTGGTGGAGACTTAGAAAAGGAACCCGAGATCTATAGAATGAAAGTTCATTTGTTCAGGGTACTTTCATCGCCATGTTGCGCCACCTTTGCTTTGCGGAAAACAATTTCTGATAATCAAGATGAATTTCCCACGGCTGTTATGCAAGCAGCTAAAGAACAGTTTTATGTGGATGATTTATTGATAAGTGTGGATACTTTAGAAGAAGCCAAACGGACATATTCGCACTTTAAAAGACTCCCAAGTTTGGGAGGATTTAACTTAACTTAATGGACCAGTAATAGCGTTGAAGTACTGGAGTTCATTCCAGAAGAAAACCGTGCTGAAGGAAACATTATTGTCTGCGAGTCCAATGAGACAAGTAAACGAACTCTGGGAGTAGAGTGGAACGTCCGAACAAACGAATTATGTTTCAAAGTTCATGAATTTCACGGAAACCCAACCAAAAGGAATGTTTTATCGTATGTAGCATCTTTGATCCAATTGGGTTTGTAGCCCCAATAATATTACCGGCTAAAGTGATCTTACAAGATACTTGTCGTCAGAAACTAGACTGTGATGCCGAGTTACCCATAGATTGTCAAGCAAAGTGGAATAATTGGTGTAGACATGTAAAAAGGTTAGACCACTTAAGAATACCAAGGTGTTTGAAACCAGGGTTCGAACCATCATCTTCGCAAATTCATTGTTTTGCCGACACCTCCGAGCTTGCATATGGTGTTGTTGCGTATATTCGTTATGAAAGTGTTTCTGGTCAGATCCATTGTTCACTCCTGCCAGCTAAGTCTAGGGTTGCTCCTCTGAAACTTGTTACTATACCCAGAAGAGGATGTCCAAAGCGTATTTTTAGTGATAACGGCACAAACTTCCGAGGTGCAGATGCCAGTTTGAGACAGATTATTCGTTCCTGGAATACTAATAAAATAGAAAACCACCTTAGAGAACTAGAATGTGAGTGGAGTTTCAACCCACCTAGGGCAAGTCATCGAGGTGGTGTGTGGGAACGCATCATAAGATCAACTAGAAGAATTTTAAGAGTGCTTTTATTCTAAAACGTGTTGACCGATGAAACTCTGCAAACCTTCTTAACTGAGGAGGAACGGATACCGAATGTCAGACCTCTGGTTAAGATGACAGATGACCCTGGTACCCTAGAAGCTCTTACTCCGAGTAAGTTGTTGTTGATTCATAAAAATTTATCATTCGACGATGCTTCGGTGGATAGGACGTTATTATACAACAAAAGATGGAAAAAAGCTCAAAGATTAACCAGCGCATTCCGGAATAAATGGATAAAAGAATATTTACCGACTCTCCAAACAAGAGATAAATGGTTGGACGTACACAAGAACTTACGACCGGGTGACTTAGTTCTCGTTAGTAACGTCGAAATGAATATAAGTCTATGGCCTAAGGCTATTGTCGAGCAAGTAAGCTATGGCCCGGACGGACGAGTTCGCACGGCAAAGTTGAGAACTTCAAAAGAAGAAATCGTCAGAGATGTGCGAAGCCTTTGCCTGCTAGAAGAAGCCGGTTGTCTGACGGCGACGACGACCCTGGACAATGGACGTGGTGCGCGTTTCGGGGGAGTATAAAATGTGATCAGTAGACGAACCCACCAATAATAAGGGGAAACGCCTACCACCACATTAACTCCTTTTGACCTTGTACTACTGTATCTCTTTATTAATCAATCACAGTTTGATGTTCATTGTAAAACAATATTTGCTTGTTGACTCATTTTTCCTATTCTCTGGCTACTGTTCGAAACAGATAAAGTTTATCTAGCCAAATAGCTTGCTTGTTCTGACTTCGACCAAATCAAGACTCTGTATTCGACGGTCTAGAGAATAGCTCAGAATTAAACTTGTAGGAAATTGCTCCCTACACTGGTAGCTATGGTTAAACAATTGCCCTTTTGCATTCTCCGCTGTATCTTAAGGTTTTCTCGTAGCTCTATGTCATGTAGCCTTATATGCTTGGAATGCTAGTTCTGACAGGTTTCCGCTTATTAGCTTTTATGCTCCTCTTCACCCTCTCGTTTGCTTTTGCGTATTTGGCCTGTGCCTTTGTTTTCTCTGCTCTTGTTCGACTGTCGTTATTTTCCTTCTTCCTGTTCTTTCTCTTTTGAATCCTGCTCAAAATACCAAAATCGATCAACAGTTTATTCTGATGCTTCTAACGGTTCAGAAGGTCTTGGTTTGTTGGAGTCATTGCTTCTCTAATGCCTTTTCAATTGTTCCCTATGGTCATTTACGCTGCTTTTAGACAACCTTATTAGGCTTTGAACATGCTCTAAAATATAAGTATGATTCCATTGAGTGTTTTACAGTTGATTGATAACTGTTCGTTGATCAGTGTCATGTATGTCAGGTCAGTTTTAGTGCAGATCGAATCTTATCGACCCAGTTGCAATGTGGTCACAAGTCTAGGTGACTCGATCATCATCTTATTCTCTGAGTTTATTAGCGTCTTAAAGAATGGCTATAACATACTTTCGTGGTGTTTTTTTCCATCGGTTCAATATTTCTTCATCTCGGTCACGACTAGAGCTCCTTTCATTGTTCTGATGTCTTCTATAGATCTGAACTTTTAAGTGACGCAGATATGGTCGATCGTGTTCTTTTTAGTGTGGTCTCACATAGCTCATTGTATGTATTTTGTGGTAAAATGGTGCAACTTACAAACATGTTGTTGAAAGTGCATAGATTCTCCCATCTCCAATCATTCTCGCCCATGTCACTCCATAATGTCTTCGTATACGATCTGGGTTTAGGTCCAAACTTGGAATGATCAGGTGTTTTCTTGAACAGTCTTCTGTGGTCGACTGGATTCTCCCAAAAATTTGATCCTTATCATCTTAACTGATGTCATTTGTGGACACGTAGCAGTGGATGATATTCACTCCAGTCTCTTCCTTTTTGTTTTGAAAGATATTTCGGTAACCCTAGGGTCGTCCGATTCCTACCAGATAAGCGTTCTTTGTGCTCCAGTGTATGGTGTCGGGTCAATCCCTTTTGTGTATGAGGTACTTCTTTATGACGACCGGGTTAGTGCAGCACTTATCCAGAAGCACTTATTTCCTGCTTATTTTCAACGCAGTGGTTCTACTTATCGCTAGTACTGTCAAAATGTAACTTCTGATTTCTTCAGCATTTGAACGGTTTCCTTAGTCTTCTACACTATTCAGAAACTTCAGGTACTCATATCTCATCTTCCAAGACAAAGAATTTACGAGGAGACTCCAAAAAGTTGACAAGCCCAGAACAAATAACTTACCTGCTAACTATCGACTTTATTGTCGAATCATTAACTAAACACGTAATTGAAACTACATCTATCGACACTTTCAAAGGACAGTTGGATCGACTGAGAGACCACTAACAAATGCTGCCTGACCTCTTGTCTCTTCTAAATTGAAACCGAAATATATAAATTGTCACTTTGATTGTCAGAATAAGCATCAGCCTCGTAACTTCAGAATAGTTCAGACCTTCAACAAGATGCGCCGTAACTGTTTTATATGAAGCATTTTGAATTTCCACGGTTAGAATGGTATTTTGTTTAGTGTTTTTTTTAACAAGGTCCTTCTCACTGGAAGGGGTCGCTAACTCTATACTCACTCCTTATTCATCCGAGTTTAAGATCGATAGTAACCCAGAAGATCTTCTTAGTGTGAGTATTGGTTTACATTGGCTTGTCACAAGGATATTTGATATTTGATTCTATCCTTACCACTGTCGTCTAAAGTTTGGGTGTTACTGTTGGCGCTATAGTTGCGACGTGCGTTACTATTCAATAGACAGGTTTCCTGATGTCTTTGAAATCCCTTGTTTCTCCTTATTTAAGTGAACCATATCATAAACATAAAAATAGCCTCTGTAGAAATTAATGTTGGTTGGCTAATTTTGGTAGTTCTTGAGACCTTAATATTCGGTCACAGTTTCTGTTCCCAAACTTACATACTTAGACCTTTATAAAGTTAGTGTCTACCTTATAAAATATCGGCTTGAAATCAAAAAGATCTGAACACTTTGGATATGCATTTTGACGACCTGGTTGTGAACTTGTTTGCCATTTTAAATCCGATTATTTCTGGGTCATTATTTTCTTTGGTTACAGGCAAATCACAACCTGTTTTATCAACAGTTGCTTTGATAGTCATTAAAGTCTCAGATATCGTTCCAAACCATCAGCACAGGAAGTTAGGTGGTTAAGTGACATTGAGTTTCCATATTACCATACTCAGACCGCTAATAAGCCTTTAGAAATGAATTCATGTTGAAAGTTTTGGAATTTTTCGCTACTCAAAAGTACCTAATGACAAACACAAAACTAATAAAATCTCTCTAAAAGGTCAGTGCAAGACTTCTTGGTCCTTAAAGTCTTTAATAGATATTTTTATACTATACTTTTGTGTTGTGTTACAGCTTGTTTTAGCTGTTCCTTCACTACATAAAGGAAATTGTCGTTTAAGTTTTGAGGCTAGGGGTTCCAGATAATATACATCGATTGTCTACAGATGGGGTTGGTTCGTTGTGCACGGATGGCGAACTCCATTCATTGTCAGCCTACTCCTCAATTTTAGTTCCCTACCACATGACTGGTTTCGGGCTTGCTAACTTTCTTTGTTTCTATGATTTATTTCTAAAAAGCAAGAGAAGGGAGGTCATGGGGAACTAACTATCAAGTTATTTGAATATAATGATCGAACCACTCCAGGCTCTCAATCGTGGTAAAGAAATTCGATTTCATCCAACTACAAGATTTAAAATTCTTGGTACCTTTTACGCACCGTCCTTTAATATTTTTCCAGTAGTTGGCCACCTCCACTTTTACAAGTGCTAGCGGCTTGTTTGCAGTACATCACCCCTCGACAGCGTCGTGTTTTCACACAATTCGCTAAATAATAATCACCTCAATTAATAACCCATGGGTTACTATGGTTTATCTCAATGAGTGATAAAACATCTATCAGTATGTATTTGTCCACGTCTTGGTCAACAATCTACATCGTGACGGATCATAGGGGTTGTTTGACGTTTGGCAAATGAATTATTCCATTATTTCATCCAGGTCATTATGAAGCTCTTTGATATTCCCATCATTTCGTGTCACTTTCAAATGCCACCATATTCCATATATATCGTAAAAAGTTATAGTATCATTAATATCTACTACAGCCCGTCAATTAATTGAAGTTGGGAATATGTATTACTGGTATTAATGGTTTTAGTTCTCCTTCTTAGTTGTCAGTGAAGCTTTTCCTGAACATTGTTGAGTATTGTGTAGTATAGAAACAGCCGGATAACACCTGTATGTGGTTGCTGAAATCTTATCCTGAGGTATCTGTTGTGATGTCTGAGTCAATAGACTATTCTTCCAAATAATATATGTTTAAATAAATAAATATATGCTTCCCAAAAATTTCACATGACTAGGGAAGAGATATCATCATTGGTGGTTATTCAGTGTTGTGGCTACTCTTACCAAGTAGTGATATTTACTACAGTCCATTAACATGTTCCTCATGTTGAGATTATATCAAACCGAGCAACAGTGGTACTGAATGAATCATGCGGAACTAGATTTGTTTACGTGTTGTATGTGGGTTGAACGGAATAATTTTTTTCAGAACGGGTTTTTTGATCCATAAGGGATAAGTTAGAGTTTCTCACAACTAGAATCGTTACTATCAGACGGTCATTGAGAACTTTATTTGCCTCATTACTTGAAAATGTAAATAGTTAAGCCAACAAACAGTTTAGATTGTAAGCGATATGTGCTTGGTTAGTGTGTCGATTTCATAAGACAGTCACTCGTTAAGACTTAAGTACGGGTGATTTCTAATAAACATGACCTGCCACCAACCTACATGCTCTAGAGCTTCATCGAAATTCACTATCATAAATTTCTTAAAACCTAGTTCATTATCACATGAAGATAGTCAACTAAGAGTTCATCACACCAATTATCTTATATATGTGAGTTGATTAAATAATTGAACTCTAATTGTTTATTTAACGAACTTGTAGTATAAGACCAAAAATGGACTTAGGTGACTGGAATGGTTGTTTTCCGAAGTGTATCCACTTACGAACCTGTTATTTCAATGAACTTCTTGCCTGATTCAGTGGTTTAACATTTACGTACCAACCTTCTTTTACCTGTCGTGGAGAAGCATAGGCCGCCGACCAGAATTCTCCAACCCAGTTTTTCCTGGGCGCTCCTTTCCAGCTGTTGCTAAGTGTGACTCATTCTTTTGATATCTGCCTCCAATTTCTGGCTCAATGTGTTTTTTAGCGTGCTTCTTTTTCCTTTGGCTTGAAGATTGCAAGGTAGGACTGGCTTTGTGATGGAGTTTGATAATTTCCGCAATGTTTGTCCTATTCATTTCAGGTGTCTTTTCCTAATTTTGTGTTCAGATGGAAGCTGGCTTGTTCTCTGCCACAGTATATTGTTGTTGGTGTTATATTCGGCCATCGAATCCGGAGTATCTTGCGTACACAATTATTTATAAATACATGTACATTTTTGGTGATGGTTGTAGCTCCATACGGTAGAGCTGTTTTGACGTCACTAGTTTAATAACATGCGTATATGTAGTTAAGAGAATAGACAATGTATTTTGTGTACTTATGCATACTAGGGTCTTAGTAGTTTTCGTAATTGAAGTTTGGATGAAACATTTACATATTGAATGCAACTGTGTTGTTGACATGTGTACCGTTCAAATATATCTTTTAAGAAATATAATCTTTGCAGTAATGTCAATTTAGTTATTTTTTCAGGATCCAATATGTGCAGTAATATTTCTTAATAATCCTATCACTATATGTTAAATTTGTTGACAGTGTACTTTTTCTAGGCTATGATTAGTCAGTTTGACGATTGCCAAGTGATTTAGTTTCCTTAAAGAAGTTGCTAGTGGGTAATCGTGACGAAAGCTACTACGTTAGTATTCTGTGGATTTCTATTAAAAGGATTGAAACTTAAGCCAAGGATACAGTTAGTGTTTTAGAGTAAATGGTGAATTTTTCTCTAAATCTATTACAAGCTTTTAAATTCACTGATAATGATATTCCCTAATCCAATGTCTATGAGAAAATTTATGTGGATACCTTCACGCTAATCACAGTATTATCCATTAATTTTTTATCAGAATTCCATAGATGTTTCTACTGTATATTATTGAAACTATTCATATTTGATGGTACTCTATAAATCCAGTTTTATTTCAAGGTATATGTATAGCACTCAATATACTTTGAAAGTATAGAAGTAACTACCAACCTAATGTACATTTTCGTCTCTATAGTATGCACTTCCAGTTTCATCACTTTATTTCATGTTATTTAATCACTCTTATATGCTTCATTGATGTACCTTAGCCTTTTCAAAAGATACGTTTTCGCTCGATTTTGTAAAAATTTGGTATATTGTTTTCGTTTTAACGTTAGATCTAATCCCCGTAGACATTCAAATGGAATGCTTCGGGTCTGTCTATCATATCTGTTGATAAATGGGATCAAGCTTTTCGAGTCTGAACAAGTCTTGGGGATGCACAAGTCTTGGAACTTCTGGTAACAGAAGTAATCGAAAGGAATTGAGTGGATTTTGCCACTGTCCTAAAAATTGTCCATCTAGCTATGTGTTACCTAGCGCTTTACAAACGAAAACTAATCCACTGCCAATTGATGAATTATCGACTTCTATCATAACAAGCCCAACTGTGATTAGTACATACAGTTGTACATGTAAAAACTCTTTAGCACATCATCAAATAAACTCTGATACACGTGCTTCTAATGTAGACATTAGTTATCAGTTATGCGGTGTTAATTCTGAAGCATTTATACCTACAGATTCAAATATTTCCATCAGAGTTTCGATTCCACATTCTGATTTTAATCAAGAACAACTCTACAACGGTCAAACACAATGTATTGGTAGTGTTGAAAAGTCCGTTGACATTGATACAATTAAAAAAGACTGTATATTTACAGATCCTTTAATATTGACTGATTGTGCAATTGAGCAATTCCGAAACCTTATATCTTCTTGGTCATGTAATGATTTATGTTGTCTTTACTTGGAATATGAAGCAGTATATGAGCTCCAACTTTTATGGAAAGAAGCAATTAAAACTCGATTGAGAGCTCCTACTCTTAAGGTAAGTGTTTTTGTCGTATAACCTATTTGTCTCGTGTATTAGTTTTACTTTACTTTTATTGAGTAGGTTAAATTGTCAAGTTGTCATTACTGGTGTTCATGGGTGAGGAATGCTAAAACTAGACTCCGGACACTTGGTAATAATGGTAGAGTGGTTGGTAAGGTAATGAATCCTCATCAACTAAAGTAGTTGGGATGTGTATTACGTATGCTCGATCACTACCTACCTCGACATATGATGTTGGGTGATGTGCGGCTTGCGTGGTAGAAAGTTGGGAGCAACCAGACCCATATATAGAATCAGTTCATGAGATAGCTGGCTATTGGACTAAACCGCGTTTTTAGCTGCAGGCTATCTGGTTGGGATCTACGCGATTATCGTAGCCAGTGGTTGGTAACTTTGGATGATATAGGTCGGGATGTCTCAGTGGTGCAGATGCTTTCACTCTTTGCCTTCCATTAGATATTGAGTTTTAAAATTATTTTTCGCCCTCTTATTTCTCGAAATTATTCTTTCTCCCGAATCATATTATCTACGTGTAATCTCTTTTGCCACGACTGATAGTTACTACTTCTACTACGCTGACATTTGTTGCGATAATTTCACCTCACTGTGCTGATATGGTATAAAGTGATACACATATATGCCAGGTTCTGCGTTATTTATGGTTGGTTATTATGAAATTTACGGGGGAGTAAAATTACTTTACGTCTGTATAATCAGAAAAGGCCTTATATCTGAGAATGTTCGGACATTTTTGCTTTTATATAAACTGGATAAGAAAAAATCGTTCTGTGAGAAAAGTATATTTTTATCTGGCCAGTTTATATTAAATTGGTGAAACTTTATTACAACTTCTGTTCAGTGTCATGACTGACAAATGCTTAAATTAAATCTTTTTATTTAGCACGAATTGATATTTTGATATGAATTAAACTATTCCACTGCTTTATTTGGCTAAAAGTATTCGAAACAACCCTATATATAACTGTATATTCTTAAGCAGTTCTTTTAATTGTAATAACTGCTTATGACGTGTTTTAACATGTATCGATCTATCGTATAGGACATTGTATTGTACTTTATTTCCATAACCTGTATTCTATTTATTTGTTTGAACACATAAATATTGGTACAAGGGGGCACCAGATACATATGCGCCACACAATAATGAAGATAGGAAGAGATAAGGAATGTAAGGTGCATGTAAAAAGAAGGAAAGAAAGAACAATAACGACCACAAATTAGTGTATGTTAGTGAAATAATAATAATGGGGAAACAGAAAGGTACAACCAGAAAGAATCCTTTCAGTTAATGAAGAAGATTTGTAGCTCAGTTGGATAACGCGATGGCGTTTGAAGCGAACAGTACTGGTTCGAGTCCCGGGGCGAGCATCAACTCTGAGATACAGGTACATCCAGCTGACGAGTCCCGAGTAGGACGAAACGCGCGTCCTAGATTCCACTGCCAGCCACTATTCATCTTTGCTTATAATGTTGTTTTCTTTGTTTGAGTTGTTTTGTATCTCGTTTGATCAACACAATTTAGAAATTACAATAACGGCATAACTATGCTATCAGTGGGAGAGAACAGAATAATAGATCTGTAATAAATTTAACAGTAACTTAAGAAATGTAGGGCATTTAGCAATAGTTTATGCATCACGAGAATGCGTACAAGAAGGGGAATACAAAAGTACAATTGTTTAAATATTTAATAATTAGAGAGAGAAAATATAGAAACATTAATTTCATATAGGACTGTTCCAAAAGTTCAACTTTTCTAATGCTCGTCCCGTCATAATAGTGCTCCATATGTTTATTTCTTTTCTACTACATAATCTAGGCATTTGATTCTTAATAATAAGACCATAAGATTATTAGCAATAGCTAATATTATCAACATAACCAATCTATAAATATTTTAATAAGTTCCATTTATTATTTGACATTCCTAGTTGATTTTTAATATAGTATATTTTAAAATTAAGTTCGTTTATTTCTGTTTTTCTTAATTATCCCACTTTCAGGATGATCTCTGGTCTTTAGCTCAACATGGTTGGTGTTCTAATACGTACCTTATTCGCAATGGCTCTACTCATGAGGCTCATTCGTATTTACTAGCCTCACGGTTAAGGAATTTCGATGAATTGCTTACTTCATTGAATCGTGGGAAATTTCATAGATTTCCAAACAAGTCGACAACTGATCATACTAATATAATGAGTATCACTTCTACCAGTGCCATCACTAATACCAGTACTACTATTCTGACTAATAAAGCTTCAGTTAATTCACTTCCTGCATCCGACAGACTTGTTGATCAGTCATCCGATTTTCAGTCTGAAAAATGTCCTGATTTATTATCCAGTTCACGTTTAAAACTACAAGATACTTCATATAAAATGAATACTGAAACCCATCAACAACAACATCTTCATAATCCGATAAAATTACCTAGTGTTAGTATTCTCGATTCTAATAATTTAAAAATTAACACTCATGATGTATCAAATTCATCTAAAATGTTTCTAACCAATTTTCTATGTCAATTATACGCGGGAAATGATCCACAACAATTACTTTCTAAACCGGATCTATTGTACCAACCAGAAATTAATGATAAAACAAAAAATACATGTAATACTAGTAGTAATTTATCGAAATTATATAATTTTCTAAAATATTCACATCAACATAAATGCTTACTCTCTAACGACTGTGAATTAATCTTCACATGTCCATCTATACTCAATTTAAAATCGATTACATTGCCATGTCATGCAGGCATATTAGCTTGTCGTTCACAATTTCTACGTCGTATTTTGTTAAAGCGTTGTAAATCCAACACTCTCAATGTCGCTACTAATACTACTATTACCACTACGAGTAATACTCAAAATTCTACGCATAAAATAATTTTAGATGGTAAAATAATACCAGGACATTTTGCTACTGTGATTTTACACTTTTTCTACTGTGATTATCTTAATTTAAATGAAATATCAAATTTATTATTAGTTTTTAATCAACAGACATTATTAAATAAATTACATTTTAATTGGCACACTGAACATAGTCAGTTGAATAAAACTACTACTAATAATAACTATAATGACAATTATATGTGTTGTAAGTCATCTGTTGAAGAGGATCACTCATCATCAACATCAACAACAATACCAGCATCTAAATGTACACATGCATATTCTTCAAGTCATTGTACAGCATCTGATTCAGGATCATTTTTCACATCAATTCAGTTTTTAATGAATACCTCCGAATTTAATGTGAAACAATTTTGTCTAAGATGTCCATTTTGTCTAACACATCTAATTCAACTTTATCCGGTTGGAGCGATTTTAGAATTTCATAAACTTTCAGAAGGTAATCATACTGCTACTACTACTATTAATAGTAATAGTAGTAATGACAATAATGTTAATACTGTTGTTGCGATTGACATGATGTGTAACTCAATAAATATTTAGATATCAAGATTTTAGTCATACTTTATATATATGTGAGATAAGGGCTTAAATAAAATAGGTTAGAATGAGTTCGAACATGTTTTATTTATTTATTTTAACACATAGATATTGGTACAAGAAGGCACCAAATACATATGCTCCACACAAATCTTATTCGATATGTGCGAGGGCTGTGATACTGCCCGGGTGCCCAGACCGATGCAGGTGGTTTTCTTAGGGGGCCACTCCCCGAGCCTTTGACCTAGAGGTCTGACCCACAAGGCAGTGGAGCATCGTAAGGAGATGCAGTCCCATGGTAGCCGGTGACCAACTCTTGGTTCATACGCCATTTGTTCCTTCAGGATACTGGAGCCCATGTGCACCATCAGCGCCGGACATTCGCTTTTCGCCCTCTCATTTCTGTAAATAACACCCCCGCCACGAGAAGGCAGTTAGTAGGACTTCCCTGGCATAGGCTATATACGCGTGGCCATGTGAGAGCATTTCGAGAGGGAGAGCGGACTTTCCCCACTCTCAGCCGTACCAGGGCATTTGGGGGCTCGAGTGCCATCGAACATGTTACCTGCTGGTTGAAAGTTGACCACATTCTAAGCTAGCACTCCTCCATACTATTACTACTGATGATATAGAGATTTTATTCTTTTTAATAAACATTAGATAGTAGTTTCGGAGTTTTTTTAACTAATTCTGAAGAGACAGTTTTCGTCGAGAATAAGCTACTATTCTGTTATAGTTTACGATTATTGAAAGGACTCGAACCTACCTTTTTTCTGGTTTCAAGATAAATACATATATCGGGTATAAGTCAGGTATTATAGACAGCTATAAATGGTGTTCAGGCAATATTATGTAATTGGTCAAAGTTGGCAATATAAACCATTGAATGATCAAATAAGTATGATCTAAATATAATGGGTTGGTCACGAAGATTAAAAATCTTGGGTCCTATCCATAATACAGACCGTAGATGTGCACTGCTCAGAAATTTCGTGTTAGAGCAAAACAACTGTTCGATATCCCCATTGGTTTTCAATGAGTTGGTGGATATTGAGGATCCACCTAGGGGAATTGGAAAATCCTGATTGCATCTCCTGACGTTGCTACACTGCTTTGTGGACCAGACCTTTAGGTCGAAGGCTCTGGGCGTGGCCCCCTGAGAAAATCACTTACTTCAGTCTGGGCACCCGGGTAGTATCACAACCCACACATAAATCAAGTGACTTGTGTGGCGCATGTGTATTCGGTATCCCTTTGTACCAATATTTGTATGTTCAAATAAATAAAGAGATCAGGATAGTTGCAATATTGAGACTTGTATATTGTAGTAATCAATGATTGAAGGTTGGGTGCATGAGCTACGGTCTATCATAGTATCACGATTGTATTTATTGTTTTTCTGCCTCTTAAATCTCAGTTAATTGTCGTTCCTATGATTAATTTCACTATAGTATTCGTTCTACTTCATTATATAATGCTTAGTCATTAACATACTTTCATTAGTTACACTTTAATTAGTGCGGTTAGAAAACCGAAAGATCAAAATTCAATAGTTATTGCCACGGTTCGGAAATAAATTGTAAAGTTGTCGATTTTTTCAGTAGCAGCTTTTCGAGATAAACAATCACATCATTCTAGAGATCAGATTTTAATAACTAGGAATCTTAGTAAAAATAATGCACTAGTTTTTGTATCAACGACGACATTAATTTCACTTACATATGTATCTTTGGAGATGTTAAATATACGATGCATTGATTTATTACCGAGTATTAGCCAATACCACGTTTGTCTACTCGTTAGTGCTGATTAAATTCTGTCGATTTAAATCTATCAGGGTTCCTTACTGATTATCTTCAACCACATAACACTAAAATATGATGCAGACGATGTAGATTCACTCAGACTAGTGGTCACATCTTAGCTTGATTGGTAGAATTTGATCACCACCATAAGGATTAGACAAACATGAAGTTGGTTACTTTTCAGTGATTAGCCAGTTTAATTATTTCGGTCCTACAAGACATGTAGACTGAATAACTCAGTGGTAGCAACTCAGACTGCGATACTAGGCGATACAAATTCGAACCCTATAGAGAAAATCAGTCCCCTCAAGACTGTAGGTATGTCTTGCTGACAATGAGTTCCAAATAGTTCGAAATCTAGGTCCAGGGTTTTCTGTCGACTACCTCCAAAAACATAATAGTGTCACGTATGGTATGGTTTAAATTACTCTATTCTTATATTTTTAAATTTTTGGCCATCTTGAAGCAGTAAGTTTCTACTTTTATTTTCAATGAATGAGAAATATTTTCCCTTTTTTATAAAATAGTATGTGAAGATTTGTTAGCAGAAGCTCTGAGTTTACCATCAATTGGTTTTAAAAACTATGAAAACAATAACTGGAAAAGTTTGTCTACTACTACAAAGAGACAACAAGATATTTCTTCTTCTGTGACAATGAGTTCAATTAGTTTAGCTGTTGGTTTACTAAGATGGATCGATGAAAAATCACCATTTACATCATCGTCTTTGCCAGAACCATTTTTGAATACTCAATTTTCACGACGTAATAATAATACTTCATGCTCTCCAACCGTTAGTCAGCAATCCAAACCCAACGAAGATTCTTCATCTCCTTTGGATAATCAATACATTTTCAAATCGAATGATAATAATTCTCATGTTTCTTCTCCTTATAATGGGACATCTCTTGGTTTTGTGTATCGTCATGCTATACAATGTTTACGGCAAAATTTCACTTCATTAGTTCGTTCACCATTTATTTTACAACGGCTATCACCTCAACAGCTTTATGAATTGCTCGATTCTAGTCTTGTTCAAGTATGTTTTAGTACCTGTACATGGAATCGTATTTTAACTTTTTTATGAAATGCCGATCCTCTTTTATTGCGTGAAACATTTGTTGTAATCAAAATGGTTAAAATATTAGCCCTCAGATATCTGTGACTTAACAGCTAGTATTTATTTCATCTCTAATTGACATTCGTGAAAAAAATGTGTTTGTTGTTTTAAGGCGCAGCTCAGAGATTCGAATTGAAGTGTCAAGTGGAACTTCTCGCCTACTGGATTCCAGTTATAACTCATGTAGCTGGTTCACTAAGTAACAGTTTTGTGTTAGTTGATTAGATATAACTTGGAGGACACCCTGGACTTGGGTTTTGTAATAGATGACACTTGTCGACAAGGCGTACCTACATTATTGAAGTAACTGACGCTCCTTGTAAGATTTGGAAATATTGAGTCACTTAGAATTGGCCGATAAAATGCGATCAGCACTAAGGACTGGACAAACATTATATTAGTGAGCACTTAGTGACCGATTTATGTAAGCATCTCAGTCTTATAGGATACTTATAACCCCAACACCTCAATTGTAACGTTTCATACTGTTAAACTGGGTGACATGGTGTTGAATCCTACATGAAATGTCAGCCTTCTCAAAATTACAGGGACGTCTTGCTGGCGAGTGCCAACTGGTACGAAAACTAGGTCTAGGGAACCTTACAGATTACTTCCAATCATCTAATAATTAAACACAATGAATACAATATCGAGTCACTTAGACTGGTGGCCACATTGCACAACTTGATCGATAAACTTTGATTATCACTAGGATCTAGGCATGAATAATATTGGTCACTGTTCATTGATCAACCAATGAAAACAGTTTTTTATTTACCGGGATTTAAGACATACGTTTTATCCAAGAGCTATTCGTACTCATCAGCTGCCGATGTTTGAAACCTGTGGCATACTAGTTTGAAGTCAAGTACTTGAGCCCCCAAATGTCCTGGTACGGCCGGGAGTGGGGAGAGTCCTCCCTCCCTCTCGTAATACTCTCACATGGCTACGCGTATATAGCCTCTGTCAGGGAAGTCCTACTAACTGCCTTCTCGTGGCGGGGGTGTTGTTTACGAAATTAAGAGGATGAAAAGCGAATGTCCGGCGCTTTAACCGGGTCGGTGCGCATGGACAGTCCACCTAGGGGAGTTGGAAAACCCTGATTCCAAACCAATGGTGCACATGGGCTCCAGTATCCTGAAGGAACAAGTGGCGTATGAACCAATCGTTGGTCACCAGCTACCATGGGACTGTATCTCCTTACAATGCTCCATTGTATTGTGGATTAGACCTTTAGGTTGAAGGCTCCGGTTGTGGCTCTCTAAGAAAACCACCTGCTTCAGTTTGGGCACCCGGGTAGTATCACAGCCCACACACAAATCAGATGAGATTTGTGTGGCGCATATGTATTTGGTGCCTACTTGTAACAATATCTATGTGTTCAAATAAAATAAACAGATGATGCCTCCAAGTACTTGAACTGCAAAGACAGTACTCCACTGTATAGAGTCAGTCAGCTTTGTAACTGTATATAAAAGACGATAAGTAATATATTGAAAGTCATAAGAAACTAGTGTAGAATTGATTATTATTATTCCTGGTATTTTGAGCTTCTATCGGACCTATCAACTATTGTTATGCGATTTACTACCCCTTAATTATTATTAATCAATCATGTACCATCTACTTGGTTCTCTGTGTATGGTTTGATTAAGTGATTAAGGGTAATTTCTTGATTGAGATGCATCGTGATCTGTTAATTCACGTATGTAAACTAATGAGTGTTTGAGATAAAAAATAATACTGGGTACCTGAAATATGATAGGAGAAGCTTGTCTAAGGGATATGGAAATTATAACCGGGACTCCGATTGGTGCATTTACTGAATGATATCAATCAACGTTTTTTCATTCATAACACAGTGATTATGGCTACACAACACTCAGATCAACATTATCCTTAAACTCTTGATTTTAACCGTAATCCTAACCTTAAATATTTTCTAGGTACAATGTTGGGACGCCTAAAAATCTTTTCTCATCCTTAAGAAGAGGGATGTTCTGTTTCCATATGGACGAATTTATATATAATTGTTTTTTTCGATTTACAGAAAAGTTCATAGAAGACTTCAACAAATTTATTAATTCTGTAAAATTTGTTTACCTTTGAAATATTACTATATTCTTTGTCTCCCAAAACTATCCATATACAATAGTTGTTTTTCGACTGACTAATAATGGACTCTTACCGTAACAACTTTGAAATATGAGTTTTTACCGATAGAATAAAAGTTAATTTAACATTTTCTCACTGAGATTATGTTTTCAGTATAGAGTTGTGGAGGTTGTCTAATTATATTGAAATCATAAATCAGTCAGACGAACATTGAAAACCAAGCAGCAGTGGACGGTTATCTCTTCTTGGTATGGAACCCCTCAGTGGTACCCATCTGTGACTCCGTAACCCAGGACCTTCGATCTCGCGCACGAGCGCCAAAACTCTAGATCACTGAGTCGGGATCCAGTGGTGTACATGTATAGCTTTAATCAACTTACAATAATGCATGACCGTCTTCCATCGTCTTCGGCGAGTATCCTCCTCACAATAGACACGGTCAAAATCTATTGATGATGCCTTTTCACTAGAACTGTGTGTTTTGTTATTCTTTCTTTCTAAATAAAAATAACCTAATCATTGATTAGTACTATGTATAATTATGCTTTTTTGCACACAAAATGATTATTTAGGCACCTGAATCTGAAATCCTAGCTGGTCTATTATGTTGGGGTGAACTTCAACTCAAACTAAAACAAAAAAATACATGTTCCGGCGTTCAATCTTCAAATGCATACCCTAGTAGAGGTAAGTATCAACTACCTAAAATATTAATTTTTTATGTTTCCATTTAGTCATTGATCACCTTGTAAGTTAGTATGGTATTAGGAAGCTCTTGTCTTTACTATTTCACTGTTGTCTATACCAATGTTAATGATCAATCGGGTTTTGGGAGTTAGTGAGGTTTGTTGTGATCAGGAGAATTTTTTTCTTAAAATTATTAGTCGCGAAATAATATTCAAAAATATTTTTCATCATACACTGATAATCATCCCCAGTTATTTGTTCCAGTTTAAAGTTTCTTTATCAGCGCCTGTATACCATTTCGGTAGAGAACAAACTTCCAAGTCTTTGAAGTTCTTTTGGTGAACTGAGTAACCTTTAACCAAAATTTCATTAAGTAATGAGTAAATATCTGTAATGTTCTTCACCTTCAGTAATTCCTTTAGTAAAGTTTTCAGAAGCTATGAAAATACTGAAAATACCTCGGTAATCAGAGTTCTTTAGAAAGTCCTAGAAGAATTCTAGGAAATGATGGATTCGGGTTTTTATTATCCTGATCAGACAATTACCAAATTTAGTATGTTTTACAACAATTCAAGGTCAAATACAATACTATAAATGCACTTTTTTATGTAAATAACCCAACTTTACAAATAAATCTCTCATACTTACTGGTTTCTGTTTTATATTCGATGTTCAAGAGTTACAAGTTTCTGGGGACTAAAAAGTCAGTGGTCTCTAGACATTCAGTCACCAGACGTATCATATGAATGCAATGATTTTACCCCTTTTTGCGATACATCAAACTTTAGTTTGCAATTTATTATTGACGCTTGTAATTCATCTCAGTTATTCTATTATGAATATGACGAAACAGAAACTAGTGTAAAAATTTTTATTGATTCAAAATATAAGGAAATACAAAGAACGAATGCATCTACGCTATTACCATTGATTCTGAAGCATATCACTCAACTTCTTTGATTGATTGATTACAACAAACGTATTGACTCCGACCAGGTAGTCTGCAACTACCAACACAGTTAAATTCAGTCGTCAGTGACTTTATCGACTCATGTTGTATATTAAACTAACTATATATATAAGCCATAATATCGATTTTGATTTATCTATTAAATACACCTCGTGAATCCGAATATTTTTTATTTCTTACTAATAAATTATTTTTGTTTATTGAATATCCCATTTCTTCAATGTACAATATTTAGATAATGAAACGAATATTCAACCAGATAAAATATTAGATAATGTAACTATTGAATATCAGTCAATTTTAACATCAATTATTGATAATCCATCTGTTATAAACTGTAGTCTATCCGATACATCATCATCAATAACAGTTACTGAAGAAAATGATCTTTCCTATTTTAATCATTGGTTATTACTATGTAGTGGTTGGAATAATGTAGAAAACAGTATGAAAAGGCCAACATCAAATATTGATTGTGCATTACGTTTACCATCTTGTCATTTATGTCATGGTACTTCTACTTCTACCACTACTACTACTAATACTACTACCATGAATAATAATGCTAACAATAAGTCTGTTTCAAGTGAATCTTTTATTCTTAATCATAATCTTGATAAAATGATAACATATACACAATTAATTGACTTAGTATCAATTGTAAATTTATTAAATGAATACAATTTATTGGATTGTATTCGACCAGCTCATCTACTTAGTCCTATGCCTAACGAATTAGCAAGTGTTCTATTACGTTATTACTGTGATAACTACCAACATCTTAATGCACATAATTCATCTACTGTTGTTTTAAATTCCGTGAAAACTCTTCATAATTTTGGCTGTTGTCAAAATAAAGATTTCTTCAATTCACCATGGAATTCACTTATTCACTTGATAAAGTCTTCCCAATCTATTTGTTCAGAGAGACAAGTAGGTCATAAAGAGATTATTATTCACTTGTATTCCATTAACGATTGTTGATTATTTAATTTCAATTAATGATGTAAACAATGTTTAGATTAACAGTACATTGAATATGTTTTATCTGGAACTTGTCAACTGGATGTATCTGTTATATCCCAGTATTAATATTCATACTAAGATTTTAACTTAGTTCTCATCGCTTCAAACGACAGCGTATTACCGACTAAACTACTGAGTTCAAATAGTCACTTTCTTGTTTAACGAATATGAAGGACATGTAGTTTCCCATTGCTGAATACTCCGTAATATGAACAATCAGAAATTTTAAACCCTTACAGCAATGATGCTTAAATTAATTATCGCTTAGTGATAGTATCTGTATAAGTAGTGTATATTTATTATGAAAAAGAGAAATGATCGACATTCATAGCACTTAATTCATTCAATGTCCAGTAACCTTTGGAATTCATGGCATAACAACAGGGTTATTCCTAATGTAAATTTTAATTACATTAATTTTATCTTAATATAAATTTATTACTGTACGAAGTAAAAATGAACTGTTTTCCTTTTTTTCATTCGTTCATTTGAAAGACTTAGTGCTATATTTCTAATGTACATAATACTTTCAATATATGCACAAACTGAACTACTATAGTTTTTGAGGAAACATGAAGAAAACTCTAGAGATTTCTGCAGAGTCAAAGGTAATTTATGCAGAGAATGCAATAAAACGTCACATTAAGAGAAGTGAATACCGCGAAAATGATAAAGCATCCAGGACGACTGTCTGTCTACTGAGTTGATGAAAATACCAGACCTGTACAGTTTCTTGTACTTTCTAATAGTTTATTGCTTGGATAAATGTTAAATTTAGGAAAATTATGTTTATATACATTTGATTATAACAAACATTCAAAGATGTGACAGCTGAAGAAACAGAGTCCTGAAAGCTTTCAGTAAAGGTGAGAAAAGTATGACTACAAATAGAGAGAATATTTCCGGAGATAAAATTGATCGACGCTTAATTTTGTGAAATGTGTTATGACCTCAATTCGTGTATTTTCTGGACAGAGTATATCCAATCATCATATCAACTATTTTTCAGTTATACATTCTGCGATTATATATATATAGAAATGTAAGCCTATAATCTCATCTTATTTTTCGGCATTTTGAAAACAAGTTTTTTCTAAAAATATATTTTAGTTCACTTTTGAAAAAGTTTTATCCAATCCTTGGAGTAGTCTATCACCTGCACAATTCTCAGAAAAATACCATTGGGCTAGCCTTTTATTCACTGATGATAATGATGGTCTATCAGCCGGTCATAAACTTAATTCCACTAATATTAATATTGATGATGACTGCGTTTGTTGTTGGAATAAACAACATCTTATAGAGAATTCATCATTGATCACCGCCACTGGGGCTTCTGTCGTTCGGAAATCATTATCGGATAATTCTAATGTATGGTTAAATTATACAAATCGAATGAAATCACAGTTGAAATTTCTGCATATTCCACCTAGATTATATTATCCATTTTTAAATGAAGTTCGAGTAAGTTGTGTTTGGGAAATTTTTCACTCGATTGATAATATTCACTTATGAAATTTACAGAAAAAACAAACTAATTCATCATCTGCATTAAATTTTGAAATCATAGAAAAGTGATAAAGATATCTTTGTTTAAAGATTATTATTTCATAGTGCATTAAAACTGGATTTTCAACGATTACATTGCATGTTCAATCCATGGTCTGCCTACTTCTCTTCTAGCTGCCAAGTAGTATCATTATTATTAGTCTCATCCCGTGTAAAAAATTTTACTTGGTTAATAATCATTTATGTTGGAAGGGTTTTATAGAAATTGGTTTGATTTGTAGGTTTCGTTTGTCACAGACAGGGTATGATTGAAGCCATATAGGATCGAGGACTTAATTCAGGTGGTTTCTGAAGCTTTAGTGAGAAGTCGTGATTTGGTGGAGCTCAGAGATATCGGGAATAAAACACCACTAATGTCATTGTATGACCATTACACCATATCACAAATTAATTGACGTTGAAATTGTGCCAATAAACATCGACCGAGTTGTTCTAATGGGTGAGCATTCGCCTACAGATCTAAAGGTACTGGGCTCAACTTCTGATAGGTTATGGGTAGAAACTGTTGAGGAGTTCCATACTAGAATAAAACAGTTTACCAGTTCTCCCTGGTTTGTAATGTTATATTAACTGAGTTCAACCTGTGACAAACGCAGCTTACACAACGATTAAGTAATCACTAGGGTTTCTAAATAATCATTCTGTAGAACCTTACTCAAGCTGTGAAATATTTAAAATACGGTTTAACCAGTCAGATCTTTTTATGATAAATTTCGGAAGCTAACGTAAGTACGTTAGCTTCGAATCTAATTAGTTCATTAAATATTACGGGTCTTGGCACTTTTTTTAAGGTTTTGAAACCTCATCTTTGTATACAGCCATATACATGTAAAGCTTTTTTTCTTTCCTTACCAAAACTAAACTTAAAGTAACGTTTCAACCGGTATTACTACCTTTTGATTTGTTCAACGTTATCAAGAGTTGTCTAAGGATGTGATCATAAGAAATTGAAATTCCGATCATTGATTTTAAGACATGATGGGTGATGAAAAAATGTTGCCTATTTATCAAGTATAGGTTTATTCGCTCTGATTTGATTTCACACAACTCGGCTACTCAAGCTGAAGCAGTCAAACTTGCGTTCGAACCCTGTGAACTATTGGCCAGATATTTTAACCAATATGGCATCACCCTACGTAACATCGTTTGTTCAAACACTTAAGCCACCTATTTTCAAACTGTGTAAATATTAAAATTAACTTTCCTATTTTAAATTTGTTGTGAATTGAATAGCTATGAATAGTAATTGTATGTACTCAAGTGCTTTTTAACAAACGTTTTAATCTATGGTAAAGCTAAATACTGATAAAATCCAACAGAAACACCGTGATTACTAGCATATTTTCCTCTTTATATATACTCTGAAAAAAGTGGCGAATACATTAGAATTCGTCCACCTTATATATGACTTATGGAAAAAAGGCAGTTGTCGCAGCTGAACTTATAGAAAACCTTCACGATTGACCAACAGAAAGATGTTTTATAGAATAGATGGAATGTGGGACTATTTGTAACACTCAGGATGGAGATATTGTCCTCTTTAGTTCGCGTCATTTGTATTTACCTGCATTTCAATGTTGGTATTCATACTGGGACTTCAACCCGAATGCCCTCTGCTTCAAGCACCCAATGAATCCAAATAACTACTAGTTTGTGCAATGAGTATGAATTCTTATTTAATTTGTAATTATTTTGCTCTTGATATTCTTTACTGAGTATTTTTCAGTCTCGGTTGGCGTATGTGCATCTTGTGCGGATTGTCTCAATATGGCCATTTTATCACAAGTTTTTATAAAGAATAGATAAGGTATGTCTAACAATCTAAATTATGACATCTAGTGGCGTTTGAAATGAAAGTTACTAGCCTTGAATCCTTGTGTGAACATCAACATTGGAGTGCATGCACATCCAGCTAACGAGACACATATAAGAGAAATTATACGTCCTTTATTCTATCACTAATCGTAATCCATTCGTTTTAAAATAAACTTAAAATCAAATATTTATATCAGGATAATCATCATAGGATTCACATATAGCAACGAGGAGTAATCAGAGTTCAGTCTTGAATATTAACAATGGGATAATTTAAACATTAACTAATAATAATATATAATTTACAATATTGAATAAGGCTATAAGAACTTTCATCTAAATTTGAACGAATAGTTTCACAGTATTTGAGCGTCGAATTAATGTAAGACATTATGGAGGAATAATATATTTATAAACTCTCAGCGATTGAATTTTAAGTTATTGTTATGGCATAATTATTCTCCATGTTGATATTATTCAAAATTTTTATGTTCTGTTTTTATTAAGATGCTTTTTATTCAGAAGCATGCTGTACATCATCAAAGGTTACATATAATGAACAATAATAATAATAATGTTGATAGTTTCCATTCACAATCTCAATCTTCCGAGTGTACATGTTGGGAGTTTTTATTATCGCGTAAATTTGATCAATCAAGTAATTTAACAAATTTCTCACCGAATACAACTAAACGCATTCATCAATCATCTTTCAATAAATATCATAACAAATCTTTTAATTTAAATCACCAGCAGACATATACTACTGATATCACTAGAGATTATTCACAAGATTTCTCATCAGAATGTGATTTAAGCTTTCCAGATTTGGCTAAAAAACGTTTCGGTTCAAAATCAATTGAAAATAATGATTATAATAATGTTAATAGTCACTTTTTCATGAATAAAAAGTTCACAATATGTTGTGATTATAAATGTCGTGACTTTGCTTATTGCTTACTACCGTCAAGTCAATGGACCAGTATTATCGATTATTACATGAGATTAGTTCGTGAGTTCATGGTAAGTGGTATCGCTAGTGGTGATGATGAAAATGATGATTTTTCTGTACATTATTTGTTTTTATAAGTGATTAGTCACTGTCTAGTGGCAAATGTCATGTATGTCAATTCCTTTTTAGTGTTGGTTGAATTCTGTCTATCAAGTTGCACCTATTACCACTAGTCTTAGTGACTCGATATCTCGTACACTATGCTGAGATGCAAGGTAGAGATTTAAGGTAGTCAACAGGAAACTCTGGACCTGAACTTCCTGTTATTTGGCACTTGTCATCAAGTTGTACCCGTAATCTTGAAAGAACTGACACCCCCTGGTGGATTCGACCCGGTGTCACCCAAGTCCATCGTCAGAGACGTTACTGCATGGTAGCTTGATCGATAGAATTCGATCGGCACTAAAAAGGGCTTGATATACATGACATTGGTCATTACTTAGTGATCAATAGATTGTAAATACGGATCAACCATACAGGAGGTCAGTCGTAGTGTCTGTAACTGAAGCTGGGTAACACGGGACTGAATTCTCCAAGTCCATCAATTCCTCTAATATCTCAGGTACACTTTACTTACGAGTGCCGAATAGCATGAAAACTAGGTTTATGGTTTCTTGTTGATTATCGCCAAACACCAGCATCTTACATTATTTGTTTTCTCTGTACGGTTCTTGTTTTGTTTCTTAGCAATAATTAAATAGTGACATTTTTAATAAAAAGTTTACATCATGAACTGATCATTGCTATACAAACCACTGAAAATCAGGAAGGACTAGGAAGACAATTGTCTTATTCTGGTAAGGGACTTCTCACTGGTGCACATCCGTGACCCCACCAGGATCCGAACCCAGTACCTGACGTTTAAATCACTGTGTTGCTATTCACTGCTTTACGCGTCTAACTTTAGTCGATTCTCAATACTGCGTAACTATCCTCCAGTGGCAGAGGTAGGTAAGTGCTTCAAACTCAACATAGTTTATTTCAGCTATTAAAAATAAATTCAGTTATTCAAAGGACATATATATAAATCAAAGTGACATATGGCATTATTTATTTAGTTTCATAAGTTAATCATTTAGTCTCTATGCTTTGACTTCACCATATTTTCCCACTCTTTTTAATAATTTCCCTTTCTTCTTACAAATGAATTTCTAGTGTTATGTATAGTGTTTGCATATTAGTTTCGCTTCTATATTCTACCATTTGTCATTTCATTGTGTAAAAAATAATTTGATAGAAATAGAAGATAGGGACATAATAATCTGTTCAATAAATATCACCTTGTTTTTCTTTTCCCGTTAGTTTTTATTCAACCTTGTGAAACTGAAGCCTTCATTTCCCATCGATTGATTTCCGACAGATCGATAATTCGAAAAAAAAGGAAAACATCGGTCTCACCCATTTCAAAATACTTTTTGTTTGTGACCAAATACTTGTGTCTTCAGTGAAACTCTTCAAAAGTCAATCTCTTTAACTTCTTTATCGTCTCATGTTTTGCTAGAGTCATGTGTACATGCGATTTCTACGGATTTTACTGACCAAAACTCATACAGACAATAGATTGGCCACTGAAGAGTGCAAGAAACTTTAGATTTAGTATTTTCATCAGTACTGTATATGGACAGTGATCCTGGTGTTGTATCATTCTTGTAATCTTCACGACATCCACTAAAGTGCTTGATTCGCTTCATTGCATTACTTCCGTAGATACTTTCTCGATGATCGACTTTATTAATTCACGGCTATAAAGAACAAACTTCGAAGTTGGATGTCTTCAAAACGATGCTAGGATATAGTGGGACCACTGAATGTATCATACTGAAGTTAAAACTATATTACTAGATAGAAATGACAAATCAGTTAATAAAACTGTAGATCTTTAATGACTGAGTTAGCCTAGATGTGTTTCACACACTCAACCATCACTAGTGTAAGTTTTAAAATAGCTCAAAATGATCATTTTAAAATAAAACATCAGCGTTCATCAAGTCATTGTATCGAAAGGTACGGATTCATTATCAGAAGTTCGAAAAATAATCGTATTCAGTCGTTGGATAACTTAAATAGTAAAGCTCAAAGTTAGTAACAACAATTTGAAAGCCCGCTTCAATTAGGGGAGCCTAGTAGTTATATTAGAATGTAGCTCAAAGTGTTGTGACGGGTGGTGTCCAAAATTTGATACTGGTACACTATTTACAAATTATGCATTTAATGAGCGCCCATGTATATTGTACATAGTGTCATCAGAACATGTGCTTATGAAATTGGTCCTTATTCCAACTAACGTATCAAGTATAGTTTAACATTACTGTCGCAACGATACATAGTCGATGAAGTATGGGCGTAAATCACTGATCAAACCCACATTTAAATCTCCGTTCACTGATTTTAATGTTGAGAGTTGGTTAATGAGCCCCGAATAGGACGAAATTTTTAGCTCGTATATTCGATTTCATAATCATATATGTAGCTTGATGGTTACGTCTCTAACTGTAACACATAGTTTATATCGTGCTGCACGTGTTAGTTCTCTCATCACTACAAATTTGCCTCGTTGACAAGTGCTGACTAGCTTGAAACTAAAGTCCGGAACTATCTATCCATCACCATCGACCACATAACACTAACTATAAGTTGCAAAAATATCAATGTGGCTAGCAGTGTGACCCAAGACGCGCGTTTCCTCCTATTTATAACTGTTCAACAGGATACCAATAGAAACTAATCGAAACTCAGTCATGAATATCGACGACGAGATAATTCAAAGTATAAATAATCACTGTTATATGTCGTTATTTTTCTGCCAATATTTTTTAGGATGATCCCATAAGTCATCATCCATGTACAAACAACAAATATATTCATCATATTCTACGTTTACGCTCCTTATGGAAATATGGTTTACCGGATTCATTGGAAAGTTTACTTGTTTGTAGAATCAATGAGTATATGTTTATGTTACAACAACCACCACCCTCAACGAAACAATGTTACATAACAGACTGTTGTAATCCTATGAGAAATATCAATACATTGCTAATCAAAAATAATTCATTTGTTTCAACAACAACCATCACTACTACTAACACTACTTCAACAGCCTCATCATCGTCATCCAAATCTGTATGTAGTTGTAGTCTACCAGTTATGAATATGACTTATTGTGAACACCATACTACGCAACGTTGTACATTTAATCCTAGTGATATTGGTTGGAAATCAACAGAAATCACCGGTGGATCCACGACCATTACAACCACAACTACATCTCGACCATTATATTCATTGTCTTCTAATAATTTATATAACAGTAATGGTATTAGAAATAATACTATCAATAAATTGACCAGAAATTCAAATCATAATTTAGTATCGTTAGGTAAAGCATCACAGTCATGTTCAATTTGTGATGATCAGGTAAATAGGGTTGTTTTTATGTATTATTTAAACTAACAGCCTAGTATTTAAAGCGATAAATACTAAGAAAATCGAGTTTCACTGTTATCTATCAACATTAAAATGTAGATGGATGTCGAGTTGGCGAGGAACCGCTAATAAAAGTAAAATCGGTATTTCGGATTTCACTGTTAACCCTAAGTCAATTGCCGCTCTAGCTTTTTCCGTCTATCTTTCTTATTAAGAGAAAGAATGTATTTATAAAATCTCAGCCAATGAATTCGAAGTAAATCTAACGTTTCGCCTGCCAATCTGGTCTAAGCTTTTCCAAGTAAATATAATCAAACATCAAAATTATTGAATATAAATAGGTACATGGTTCTCTGGTTAACTGAATACTAAATAAGTTATATAATCAACGTTAAGAATGTTTAAAGTAGGTATTTGCTTTACTGTGTAAGATACATGTGGTGTAAAGCGAAAATTGTTAAGATAACAGATTGCGTGTATACGTAAGTGGTGTGAGAAGAAATTTGATTCACCATATATTGTCTCTGATCCATGAATTTTTAAGAAAACATACCATTTTTATGTATGGTATGAATCGAATATGTTGGATTTACTTCAAATTTATTTGCCGAGATTTTACAAACACATTCTTCCTCGTTGATGTCTCATATCAACTCGGCGCCCAAATACTGTAAAACTATTTGATCAAATTTGGACGAAACTTTTATATATGGCTTTCTTGTTTTTCATTAATTTAATAACTTTTTATGGGATTTTCCGGAGAAAGGGGCAGTGAGATATAAGTAGAGTCGAAACACCAGAAGAGAAAAAATCATGGAAAAAGTGGTAGGTTTGCAGACACCATTTTTATCATTGACATTCTGTCAGTCAGCAACGTAAAACCTGATACTTATGTACATCGGCTCCAGCTTGCAAATCGAGACGACATTATCACGACAAGTCCCAAAGTAGTAAGAGTAATTTTGATATCATTGCTATCAGAGAAGATTGGACATCGACGATATGATTTGAGAAATATTTAATCTTGAGGATAAAAAGTATAAATAATTTAAGAAAGAGTCTGAACGCATCCGTGCCATTGTGAGCCATATCATCCAGCATCTTCAACCATTAGTTACAATGATGGTGCGAACTTCAACCAGATATTCTAGTATTTCATGGAGTGATATCACGTCTTGGTTTAACCCGTTAGCCTTTTACCAACCTAAACAATCGTCATAGACTGAATTCAGTTGCAGAGCTATGAAAAACCTGAAGACACTCAACATAGTTGTTTTACCATAGTTTGTGAATCTGTATTGTCCAGAGTAAACCAATTCACAAATGCACCTTATGCAATATAGGAAATTGACTGAATATATATATATATATATATATATATATATATATATATATATATATATATATATATATATATATATATATATATATATATATATATATATATATATATATATTATCCATAGGTTTTGTTACCTTCATTTGTTTAACATTAATGAGCGAACTAGTCGAGATAAAAAAAAACTACAAATAAACAGATCACAAACAACGTCGTCAGAACTGACTGATGTAGCATGTGTAGAATAACTGGAAGGTTCACTCTCTACATGAAGTAAGCATTGATGTCCTGAATAAGAATGGAAGATCTAAAATTATTGCCTTCTAGATCAATGGAGACATCAAAACATTCTGAATGTCTTTTTTGGGCGGCATTCTTCAATCTTTAAACATGGTTATTTACTAATGGATGGTTTTCTTAAATTCATCCTTCAGGTAATCTTGTGTTCAGTTCCAAAGAATCACAAGTCATTCTCAAACAATAAGATTCTATTCACTAGTAATGAGCAATTATCAAACATACAGTGTCTCGCGCCTTTTTCTTGTAAGCAATGTCAAAATCTTATAAAATCAGTGGAACCATACTGTCATAATGTTTCTTATTTTTCTTCATATATTACTAAGCAACAAAAGGCATGTGTCCAGTGTATAACTTCACCTATGAGTAATACTACTCATATCACTGATTTCAATAATTTGTTGCTTCCTACATATTTTTCCAAAAATCAATTTAAGAATGGTATTTATTCTGATCCTAATTATCTATTGAATGATGGTTTATTATTTTCTTCTGTAAATGATCGTGCACTGACAAAGAATAAATCAAACTATCACTATAATCTGTATCGTTCTAATGATCAACAACACTGCCACCATCGACAACAATCGAGACGCCAACATCAATCATCAGATATATTCTACTGTCCTTCTAATGATCACAAATTATCTTCTGAGATGTTAACAACAAATTTATCCAGTCCATGTTATAAGAAAGTTTTATTGAATGATAATGATGAGGATAAGATTGAGAAAAAGACGATATGTTGTCCCTATGCATCGTGTTCACAACAAACACTAATACAACCATCACCATCATTGTCTTCGGCGATATCTTTAGTGCATTTAAAAAATACTGATGGTGATCTTAGGGTTACGTTTAATCATAATGATATTAGTAGCAGAAGCAGTCATGCTGCTGTTACTGAAGAGCAATATGCAACCAGGTTAATGAAATTATCCACTAAAAGGTATGATGATGAGGATCGTTTACATGATACAGTTTATTTGCCTTTATTACTAACATTACAAGGTAGTGTTAGTGACCAGTATCATCATAATATGTCTTCATCCTTTACAGGGAAATCAGATCTATCTTCAGATTCTACAAATTATTCTTCATCGTCATCATCATCTTCAACTAGTTTCTCATCTCCATTATCAAGCGCAAGTAATTAATTTACATCATTGAGATTCTTTACTCTTCTCCAGTTTGATGATTCTTGTGTATGTAGCTAATGATGTCCCGGTTCTCGTTCACTTTCTCCTATAATATGTCTGTTATAATTCACAGAAAAAGTTTATTACAAAAACAATTTAATTTGTCTCTTGAAAGTTGCTTCCATACTTTGATCTTATTATATTAGTGGAAAAATGAAAAAGAATTTTATACAACAGTAGGCAAATTTTTTCTAGAAAAAACTCCTAATCCTTATTTGTAAACATAAATTCACATACGGTTACTTTCTATACTTTATTTTCATCGTGTTTTTTTTGATAGATCATTATTTATTAATGATTGCTTTCAACACTTCTTTTACTCTACAGTACACAACAAACATTTTACCGGCCTGATTTGTAATATTTGTCTATTAAATCAAATGAATAAATAATATTATACTTGTTCGGTTATCATAATTTTCTAACATGATATCACATTCATTTTGTGTGTAATCATGAGAAGTATACCATTTGTTAACCAATCAAAACATTTTAAATTACATACTATTGACCAATTAACTTCCAGTTTAAGCATGTGTTGACCTGATTGTATTTCCCTCTCATTTTCTATTGGTTGAATTTTTTTAAGGACTGAATCACTTCAAGCAATATATAATTATGAATTAGTTTTTTTTTTTAGGAAAATGTTCATATATGTGCAATAATGGAATTAAGTAGCATTTTTATTTTCTAAAACATCTATACAAAACGAGGTAACAGCAGTTATTTTATTTACTGTTTTAATTTTCATTTCATTGTCTATTGCCCTTTCGCTTTATGTAACTTCTTCCTAGAATTGTTGCCTTATAAATTACGATACAATGAACTTTATATGATATGTTATCGAGTTGTTTTGTTTTTACAAATAGATGTTTAGTAGTGAAAAAAACACTACTATCATTTATATTGCCACGATCTTCTTTATCATAATTCAGAGTAAAGTACGTTCCTTAAATTATTTATTGGATGAAGTGTTTCCTAGATGATATGAGTACATCGTTTTCTTTTTGATTTAAGAATTTCTAAAGCATAAACCTTACAATCGGTTTCATCGATATGGGTTCACAAATCCTGCCGAATCTTGAAATGCATTATGATTTTATACTACTTTAAACCCTCATCTATCCTTTTCGAACTGTGATGTTGGGTTTGTTACTATTATTACTTTTCTGTCGCTGTGTGGATTTTAAAAGTGTGACAATTCTTCTCGATGTGTATTTGTGCGAGTTCTTGCGTTTCTTGATAACTGATTTGATGCTGTAACACTAATTACCACGACGTGCAATGCTAACCGGTGTTCGGGATGGTTGGAAGAAAGTTAGGGGCGGCCAAACCAAAATGTGGCATCAGTGCTTGAAGACACTAACTTCTAGTCTGAGCCATGTTGGTAGATGCAGACTACTTGGTTGGGGTCCGCGTGACTATCGTAATCAATGGTTGGAGACTCTTGGTGACATGGCTCATAATCGATCATAATGGCGTCGGTGTATACACTCTCTGTCTTCCCTCAAACCGTGAGATTAGAATCGCTTCATATCTTCCTTTCTATGAACTAATTCTTTCTTCCTGTACTATATCCTTATATGCAATTTCTCTTTTATATATTACAACTATTGAATTATCTATGAATTCGTTGTTCATCTTGTTGTACTAATAAGGTGTGGCAACTTGGACTGATGCACATATGTGCCTGGTCCTACGTTGTAGCTGACTGACTGACTCTAAGATTCGTCTTGTAGTCACATTATTAATTACACTTATCTTGCCAGTCAGTTATTCATATTCAATGTAGTCTACTACAAATGTACGTTGACCCAGTTTGCCGTAGGAAGTTTACAATGAGGGATGAAATTAACAAGATGAATCATCATTGTCAAATGATGATGATAATTTAAGCATTCAAATATTGTTTGAGAAAAAAAGGGATTAATTGGTATGTGTGGATGATTATCGGAATTCTGTGTTTGTGTTAATGATGTTATTCAGGAGAACGATGAGGACTTCAAGATCAAGCCATCTGGTTCAGAGAACGATGCTGTAACAAAATCATCAACTTGAGCTACAATTGTTTTACCACTTCAAAACCTATGCTAAAACCAGCAATGTTTAATTGCTAGATGAAACCTATGAATATTGATCATTTTTAAAATTGATCATTGAAACAACAACAAAGAAATTAATAATAAACTCACATATGAAGACAATCATTTTTACTCACATATAATACATATTCTTATTAGGACATTTACAGCTAGAGAATTAGAAAGAGATTTTTCAATTTTTGCCTGAGCAATTATGTTTATTTTTTTACGGCAAAAAAAACTGTACTTTCGCTCATTTAAAAAAAAGTAATGATGGACAAGAAATATCTGTTTGTTTGTTTGCAGTTAGATGATGATCAACAGTATGCTTGGAAAAAACATAATCCTAATAATAAACAAGCAACGAACATTAGCGTCCTTATACATTATACGCTGGTGAAGTCAATATTCAGGTATTTTGGGTGGGTTTTTTTCAAACACTTTGCTTTCTAAAAATTAGGGGGACAGAATCCAATGTATACGACTGTTCAATGGTCATTATATAACCCGTCCTTATTACACAAACACACAGTATCTACATACATGTACCAACATACTAGGAGACTAGAGAAAGGGAGAGAATATAGAGATAAATAAATCATATGGTAATAAAGATACACAAAAACAGGGACTACATACTACTATTAACATAATATAGGTAGTGGTAGTAGTATGGCAAAATTTGCAAAACCAGTAAATGGAGGATGTATGCGATACAAAAAAAGAAATTACTTTCTTTGAAAGCGGGACACACATAGACACGGGAGCAATAAAGAAGTTAATAACCGAAAAGAGAACATAGAAAATTGTTGTCATAATAGTTTAAAGCTACAAAATGGTTTCACGTAATGTAACTTCTGCATTGTGATTGAAGAGGAAAAATTCAACAACAGAATTGAGTACCGGAGATCTCCATAAATACAAATATATCAATTACTATATATATATAATAGAAAATGTTTGATCATGTTTCGGTTATCCATTAAAAGAAGAACGATATTCTACGAGGGGTTGGTCAGTGCTAGTACTATTGTCCAGAAATTAATTATGTCTAGCGTAAAGCTGAGTCCATTCACGTGCTTTAATAATAAAGATAAAACTGAAAATGACTAACAAAGAAATATTTACACAAACAATGAATAGAATGCAACAGGGAAGTGATATGTTCACTGAGTGGTGATCAATGTCATGTTTGTCTTGTTCTTTTTAGTCCTGATCGGATTCTGTCGACTGATTTGCAACGCGACTCACTAGTCTAGGCGACTCAATGTTGTGTGGACTATGTTGAGATGTTTAATGGCTAGAGATAGCCGATAGAAAACCATGTTGACTACTTGCAACGATAAAATACTGGTACCCTTAGACATGCTTTATAGACAATTAAATATAGTGATTCATATTTTTAAAGTGATGCAGAGTAATTTGTTGTTTTAGCTGCATTTTTGAACCTTTCATTAGAATCGGAGATCTGTGTAGTACTGAGGTTTGATAGTTTTACGATCAATGTTCTCTGAGTTTATAACTTCGATTTATAGTGAAGACGTCGGTTGTTCGTGGGAAGGAACTTAGTGACCACCCCTGCAACTCAGTAGTCGGCAATAGTGACTCGCCTATGAACCTTAAACTTATTGGTTTTAGCCATAACGTTCTGTAACCGACCTGTTTAGTATAATAAGACTTCAATATAGATTGACTGGATGATTATAGGAGAATAACAAGGCCATTATATGAAGGTAGTTGGTTAATTTAAATATTCCCGGTTCAATAAAACTTTTAAAACCATTTAGTTCATCAATGAATAAACATTTTGTCAACTTCACTAATTTATGTCCGTAGTTAGTTCGATTGAATTAGCTATCTTGATGATTAGCAGTACAAATCATTAGTTGTGTAGTAACAGGACATCAAAACATTTTTAAACATGATCGTATTCTCTTGACTGTTATTATATGAATCTTTTCTATTTATCGTAATTATTTTAAAAACTTATTTACCAGATACAAATTCGTGTACCTGATTTTAGGTCATACTCTAAATGTTGATGACTATCAATACTACCCAACTGATTAAACTTAAGTAATTGGAGCGAGATTCGAACTTGAGACTTATTGGCTTAGTAATTTAGTGGCCACCATTCAAAATAGTTTAAATAATAACAAAGATTTATTAATATCTCACATAAGCCGACCTTTAGCAAGAGCTTCTGGTTCATTTTGTTTCCAATGTGATGCAACTTCACCGTCTAGTGGATCTTCAGGATTTGGTGCACTTAACAATGCTTGAATAGACAGTAGAACAGTGCGTATTTGAAGAGCAGGACTCCATTTATCTGGATAAATGGAGGAAAAATTAGAAAAGTTACAACTCAGTGCCGATATTTATAAAATCAATTGCAGATAACATTAGACTTAATGAGAATATATTGTATCAAGTTTCGCCAGTTTAAATTAATATACAGAACGAAGAAATTAAACAGGATAAGGAAAATATTAATCGCAGTAGATGGTTAAACATAGCTGATAAGGCTTAAAAGGAACAAATAAAATAGAAGGATTACAAATGTGGAATGACAGAGATCAAGACTTAAAGGAAAATAGAGTTAGTCAAGCATACGCCATGTCAAACCAGGTACATATGTGAGTCGCCTTAAGTTACTGCACTATATTGGCACAATTGGGTGAAATTACCTGTATGAGTACTAAAGTAGTAGGCGTACACTACTTGGTTGAAATCTCTGTGATTATTGTGACCAATAGTGAAAAATTGCTTATAACTGACTAATAAGTCGACAGTTTTCAGAACGACTAGGTTAAGTATGGTTATATTACGTAGTAAAATAAACCTCGTTCTACTTAGAGGTTCCAAAGTATACTCATGTTAGTAATAATTTTTTTCACGTTAAATTAAATAGATACACATGAGGTATTTCTCCTTAAAGACGGTTACATAACGGTGAATTTAAAAATGCGTAGGTTTAGAATTAAGATATTATATGGAATTAGATAGAGAGAAAAAACAAGTGTAGCGGAAAGACAGATTTTTAGATTTTCTTGACCTATTTATTTGTATACATCCAAATACTTAAGACTACTGCGTTGTTTTGAAATAAACAATTAAAAAATTTATCAGTTAGTAAACAGCGTTCGGCAAGAAAGTCTTGTATTTGTTTGATGCATTCTTGACTGCATTTTACCGCTGTTCTATTTTAATAACTTAAGAATATATAAGGCTGTCGCATATACGGGCTACCTTAAATTATTTCATCCATAATTTGAAGTGGAAAACTAATGTGATTTTTTACGCCACTTACCTGCAATTGTACAGTGCATAACTATGAGAAAGATATCTCGTGAGTAAGAGGTAATCAAATATTACCTAAATTCGATTATCACATTTTACAACTACACTAATATCAGACGGTGGACTGTGACCAATGGTTGAAGGATAATAGATAGGTGGATTATCACCAGCAACAGTCTACAGACGTCAACAGACTCTACTGTGATGATACAGAATGAAGTTGGTAATTGACTTAGAAAGACTAAAAATAGGATTCAACTGATGAGAGCCAGATGGAGAATGATACCAAAGAGAGATTTCATGTCCTAGAAAAGTGTATAAACATTTTTGTGATATTTGGTTTTATAGCATTGTTATATAGAATGATAGTTATTTACATATTAAACGCAAAGAACAAATTGGGGCTTATTACTTTCTTATGAAAGCGTGCATTAGTGCAAAAAACGAAAATCTGATAACGATATTATTACTTGTTTGAAATTCAGAGACTTTTTTCTACTCAACGTTGATTGAGATGATTTGCTTATATA